CCCTGGAGGTCGCCTTGGTCCTAAACTGACAGTTTATCACGTCGTGGATAGATTTATACTTCTCCAACTGTTTTATTTTGCATGTTTACAGACTTTATATATTATATACTTCAATTTGCATTTCACTCAGCATCGTTTTTGATATGTGTATAAATTTATACCGGTAGTTCAAGTTCATTTTTAACTGCTTTTATCAGATATCATTGTATGATAACTGATATCATACAATAAATATTTTTGTTATTTTTTATTTATTTTCTTGTTGGAACTTAAGGCTGTTTTTGGACTTTTACTATTATGTACAATGCTACTATGAATATTTTTGCATATGTCTCTGTGTGCACATGCATGAAAATTATACTTCTTAAAAAGATATGCATTATTATACAATGTAAATACGAGAGTACATTACATATAGTAAGGGTAACTCTTTGTCATGAAATTATATTTGAACGTATATGGGTACCGGGTCATGATGTAAAATAACGTTTCTTGTTGTGGGTGGGGACTGGTCAAGGTTGAAAAAGCAACATTTTGTATGACAACCAAAGGCAATTAATGATTTTAGTCTTACCAGGGAGAGCATTATACCCTTTTTAAACCTTATTACAGAGTAGAGGAAATTATGTTAGAGATCTAAGTGTGGGTGTGTTTCTCATTTTTCTTATTCCCAGAATGTGGAGAGTAAAGGAATGCGAGACCAGCGATTGGATCATCAGAGAAGAGCCACGGAAGCCAGTGACGACGACCTCATCCCGTTTGGAGATCGACCAACAGTCTCTCGGTTTGGTGCCATCTCTCGAACTTCCAAAACGATATATCAGGGTGCTGGCCCAATGCAGGCCATGGCGCCTCAGGGAGCTCCCACAAAATCTATCAACATTTCAGGTAAGAATCTGAGAGGTAAGCTCATCCGGAAGGCCCATGCGCACGACCCTTCACACATTGTCCCTCCTGTCCACTCGCCGTCCGTGCTTCCTGTGCTCTTCCAAGGCAGTGATCCTCAGACTTTTCTGTGGAATTGCCCCTGTAGAAAGCTAATTGTAACTCAGGGAATTCTAGGGGTACAAACTAAAATTAAATTCCGTATATGAAGATTGCCTGCGTTCTTAATAGCTTCATTGCTTTTATTAAAATAATACGTGCTTATTTTTTAAAAATTCAAAAAAAATTACCAAGACTGTTAAATTGGGGAGAAAACAAACATCATGTCCCTGTCACCGTTTTGGTAGACATCTTTCCAGATAGCCATGTATACAGTGTGCCTGTGCCTTTCAGATACGGCTGCCTTAGAAGGATTAAATCTGACTGCACCATGCTAGATGCTAGAGTCACTTACTCTTTTACAGATTACAGTCCGTATGGAGCCCATGGCGGCTGGGGCGGGTCTCCGTACTCCCCTCATCAAAACCTACCTTCTCAGGGACACTTCAGTGAGAGGTACGAGCCGTTCTTTTACAAACCGTTACAATCATCCAACTTGTCTTATTTTGTTTTTCTGGTTAGTAAATTTTCCAAAAAATAAGAATTTTAATTCTCCACTTTCTTTCCCACCAAAGAGAGAGAATATCCATGTCGGAAGTGGCCAGTCATGGAAAACCCCTTCCGTCTGCTGAGAGGGAGCAGCTCCGACTAGAATTGCAGCAGCTGAACCATCAGATTAGCCAGCAGACCCAGCTACGTGGACTAGAGGTGCCAGCCTGTAGATAGTTTTTTATTCTAGTTTTTGAAGGTTCTCAAAGAGATTTAAAAGGAAGATCTTTTGAGGTATTACGAACACAAAACTTTAAGGTCTCTTCTTAAGAGTTCGTATAGGTGTCCATTCTTCAAAGAATTTAAGTACTTAAGAGTTCAGTTCTGGGACAATAGGAAACTTAGAATTTAATACCTGCAAATAGAAGACAGATTATCTAAAATCTCCCAGTGGGATCTTACAGTCCCTGGTGGCACATTTAAGTTTAAAATAATACCGTGCTTTATCAGCATCTGCTTTAGCTTAAGATTGGTTTTTAATTTCTCATATTTCTTTAATTTTAAAAAATTTTTCTCGTTTAATTTGTAAATCTTTTTTTACAGCATTTGTAAATCTTTAAAAAGTAGAAACTTAGAACTTTTGACTTTAAAAATCAGTGTCTGTATAATAATAGCACCTTCATCGGTGTAGTTCTTTCAGTTTAGAAATTAATATCACATATCCTGTTTGACCCTGACAGGTATGTTGGCAGGTGTGACTGTTCCCCTGTCTTGGTTGAAGTTTATGAGTTTCACAGAGGTTGAAACATGAACCCAGGTCTTTGTACTCCACCAAATTCACTGTTTTTTCCACCTTGCTGCCTGCCACGTAAGAGAAACAAAACGTCAGAAAACAAAGGATTTTTAGAATCCTTTAAGCGCCACTGAAGGAAGGCTAGGTTTTGTTTACCTTTACGTGGGGACATGTTCCTTGACTCTGGAATCTAGAGACATCTACTGATAACTGCTTGGCTCTCTTGTGGAGAAAAAGGAAAAGATACTGTTGTCCTTCTACCAGGATCTTTAATAATAAGTAAGGCATCACTTTGGAAATAAATTTCTTTCTGACTCTGCTTTGGACCTCCTTGTAAGGAAGCCCAATAGTAGTTATGTTTTGGAACGCAGTCCTGCTTTTGCTCTTAGGTAATAAGCAGCAAGGTTCAGAAATAGGAAAACCTACGTACTATTCCCATTTTGTCACCTTTTACCATTGTATTATTTACATTGGTCCAGAACTTCTTGCTGATTTCTTGTTTAAAAAAAAAATGCTATGTTTATGTCCGTTTTTTTATTCATTTTTAAAGATTCAGACCTTTCACTCCGTAAAGCATTATTCCTTCTCCTGCTAATTGATGACTTTTTGTCTTAGTTGAAATTTGTAGACCCATTTTCTGTCCCAAAAGAATAACAGTCGGCATCATTTGGAAGCTTGCCACGTATTTGACTCACTGCGGTTGAAGTCGTTTCCATTACTGAGGCTTCACAGAAATAAATTACAAGGGAAGAATGTACATTTATAATCGACTTATCTAAGAGCAGCTTACACCTCAGATTAAGTTACCGTTCACTAAGTTTGAGTCCCCTATTTTTCAGATAGTACTCAGAGAGATCGTACCTCATAGTTGCATCATTTTTGTTACAAACACGTGAATGTTAAGCTGCTCAAGGCTGTGGTCTGGATTCAGGCCTGGTCGTCCCGTGCATGGTGTGAAATGTGTTGAGTTGTGTATGTGCTTGGCTTTGTGCACCAGGCTGTTAGTAACAGGCTGGTGTTGCAGAGGGAGGCGAACACCCTGGCAGGCCAGTCACAGCCCCCACCGCCACCTCCAAAGTGGCCCGGAATGATCTCCAGTGAGCAGCTGAGCTTGGAACTGCACCAGGTGGAAAGGGAAATCGGCAAGAGAACCCGGGAGCTGGGCATGGTGAGTGCTCCGGTGGGGAGAGGGGAGGGAGAGAGGAAAGCTGCGGAGTTCTGGAATCGTCCAGGACTGCAGGGTCATCACCCCAGGGCTCTTCAGTGGGCAATTAATATTTAGATGAGTCACATGAAGATGGGCCTCCTCTCTGTTTTATTATTCCTCTCCTCATTCTCTTTTGGTTTGAGTGTGTTGTCTTAGGATTCTGCGTGGTGAAAGACGTATAGGGAGAACAAAGTAGTTAACTGGAAGTTATTAAATTTCTGTGAAACATACTGATTCGGGAAGCAGAGAGGGGATGGTGTTTATGATTTTGCCAATGCCATCCCGTTAACGGAAGATATATTACCAAATGACATTCTCGTGTTCATAGCCCTTAAATTGTTGATGATGTTTTTTGTTATGAATGAGATGCAGCCTACACATTCCTTCCTGTGGACTTGTACCCATGGCTGTGCTTAGGGTTTGCTTCGTAGTGCACGACGTTCATTTCAGTAAACTGTGACTCTTAAGGGATTGGACCATTCTCCCAGGTTGTGTGAATTGACCTTTTTGTTGCATAGTTTTCCCATCCTTTCTAAGCAGATAAATGAGGTAGTTTTTCTTCTTTCAATAAGTACATTATAGATGCATATTAGATTTTGGCTTGCCTTTTTCCTAAGTCGTCATTTCTGTGAGATTTTTCCCATGTTAACTTGTGGCATTCCCTCCCCCGTCCCCCTTTATTGTCCAGCTTGGGTAGTGAGCAAGTGGGTGGTTCTCTTGACGTGTTTTGGTGTATGTCTGTCTTCTAGTCGGCCTGTTTTCTTTGGTCATTTTACAAAAGTAAATGATTTCTGGATCATCAATTTGTGTTATCTAGTTTGGTCTCTCTTCCATTAGCACCATTAAATAGAAGATAATTACGTTTATTTCCTTCTCTTTCAAAGGAGAACCAGTGTTCTGTGGACATAAAAAGCAAATTGAATACAAGTAAGCAAGCAGAAAATGGACAGCCGGAACCACAAAATAAGGTTCCAGCTGAGGACCTTACATTGACATTCAGGTAACGAAAGGGACATTATTACAGTCTTCTATTACCCAGTCATGACAGAAATGCCCTTAGAAATATGATTTGATTTTTTAAATATAATGATTCTATATATGTTAAGAAAAGAATACTTTTACATAAATTCAGGAATTATACTTATTTTAGAATAGATTCAAGATTGAATTATCTGTTAATACCTAACAGGAATTTCCTGGTTCCGTTTCCTTTTCCTCCGTGTTTTTTAATTTCTCGAAAGCCAGTGTTAACACTTTGTTGAACACCTTTCCGATATTTCTAAGCGGTGTGGCATTTAGCCTCCATCCTCCATCCCCCATCCGCCTGGGTTTGAATTTGGTCTGTGCCATTGTCTGATATTCTTCTGCAGGTGTGGAGGGTACATGTCAGTTACCAGGAACAATATTGCAGTTCATTCTTCGTTTGCATGTCTTTAATTATTTCCTCACTGTATTTTGAGACTTTCGATACACAGTCCTGAGTTCCCCTCCTGGTGATGTAGCACACAATTTCTAATGCTCTGTTGCTTTCAGACTTAGGTTGGGCTCTTAAAATCCATGCCTTATCTTGGCATGGATTTTATCAAAAAATATATACTAGTAAACCTGATGAAGCAGAGATCAGCAGCACTTTTTCGTAAAGACATTGTAAATATTTAATACTATTCTACTAAGTAATCATTTTTATCTCTCTCCTTTTAAAAAAATGCCAACTTTTTTTTTTTTTTTTAGTGTTAACAGTGATGTGCCGAATGGATCGGCCTTGACACAAGAGAATGTCAGCCTCCTGTCAGCCAAGACTGGCTCTCTGAGCCTGTCCGAGGACCCCGAGGGGGGCGGAGACAACAGCGACTCCCAGAGGTCGGGAGTGGCACCCGGTTCTGCTCCCTGAACTACGAGGAGTCCCACGTTTATCTTCTGCTCCTAACCCGCCGATGGGGCACGGGGCGGAAGGACGATGACTTCACACTTTTGCTCTGAGTGGTCAGAGGAGTCCCGGCAGAGCGCCAGAGGCAATGTGCACAAACACCGCTACTGAGACAGACCCTGCACATAGTTCACACTGATGCATTTTTTAATTTAAAAAAAGAAAAAGAAAAAGAAAATTAGCAGTATCTGCAAGCAATTCAGATTAAATTTGTTTTTGTTCTGTGAATGAACTTTATTTTAATAACTTTGGACGCCTTGGATCCAGGGCTTTAAAAAAAAGAAGATATTATATATACACTCTGTTCGATTAATTGTATGATCTTAATGAGTAGGTTTTTCTTGTATTTTGGTATTATTACATACCCAGTGTATAATCCCTGACCCACAATCCTTTCCACTTCTCACAACCCTATAAATTAAAGCAGACAAAAAGCACCGGCCTTTCTGACAGTTCTGGGGTGCTTGACAGGCAAAGAGACAGTAACAGACCAGTTATTAGAAAATGTGCAGCGAACCAGCTCTTCTGAGAACTGGTATGTGGAAGTCATGATTTCCTTTTCCTTTCCGGGTCGCTGTCTTCCCGTGTAGCTGTGCTTTTCCCATGGCATTACAACTTTCAGGAAGATCTCATTTCTTGTTTTCGCTTTTAACCTCTCAGAGAGATAGTTACCAGTTAGTTTTTGAAGTCTTCATTTCCATATTATGGGTTCTTTTCATTCTCTAATGTAATCAGAAAACCAAGTCTCTGTCTTGGCTTGTCTGGTCGGATTTAAATGGAGGTTAAGTTTTAAATGAACTGGAACTGAGCGCTGAAGTCACATGGTCGGCGTAGGCCCTGTGTCGAGCTGCTGGTTGGAAATTTCCAAATTGAGCTTCCGTTGAAATTACAGAGTGTTGAAAAATCAGGACAATCGACCATGCTTTACAACTGCAACATTTGATTTGAACTTAAAATGAACAGAGAGCCACATTAATTCAGCGGATGCTTTGGTTTTACTCCCAAAACCCAAAAATGTAAAATAAAATCCCTATACACTGGCACCTCTGGCTTTCAAAGAGATTTGCCTGGATCTTAAAGGTAGTTTACGAATTGCTCAGTGGTTGCCATTCGGAATCCCAGCACAGCAGGTCATAGGTACCTAGAAGTTTATTTTAGACTTGGCTCTACCTTACTGAAAAAATTCTTCGTGAAAGTTGGAAAGAATAAGGAAGAATCTTTATTATTTAGTTCTGCTGCACATATTCTGATGGCACGTGTCTATACTGAACTAAGAACCCTATAAAACACGGGATCATTTGATACAGTCACCCTCCCCATCCCTCTGTTCGCCTGATTTTTAAAAATTTTTCCTTTCTGGATTATACTACTAAAACAGAAAGCACTGGTTATGTAATAAGTTACTGCATTGCTTTGGTTGGGTAAAAGCAAGAGTTTGTATTTTTCTTGTTTCTTATTTTCTTAACCCTTAACTCCTGCTGAGGTCATAACCTCAGTCTAAGCTCTGCGTCTTCATACTATTGACTGAAACAAATTGTGGGGGGTGGGGGTACACAGTCCTGCCGTTGCCTACCAGTAGGAGAGCCCAAACAGAACACTCTTTTGAGTAGCGATTATTTAATTTGCCCAGTCAAGGCACCGTGTTTATATACTATTTCACATTGAATTTGATTATGCCCTACAGACCTGGCTGGTCAAGGATTTGATATACACATATTGGCTTGGGATTCGAGCTTTCTTTTTTATTTAAATAAAAATTTATATATATATTATATATATACAGATATACATAGCTATATCTGCATATATATTGGGTATGTTTTAAGGGTTTTTTTCGCACGAGCGCAGCTGTCGCAGTACGACTAGTTGGGAGGTGGGAGCATTGAATGAGGACGAGGCGTCTTTTTCAGTTGATTCCATGTTTTCCTTTTTTGTTAATGTACTTGCTCTTTTGCTTTGTTTTGATTTGCTTAATACCCTCTTACAGTTACTCTTTAAACGCTTATTGTTTTTTGGGAGAAGGAGAGAAACTGTATGTCTGACAGGGTCCCAAGGTTTTTCATTTCTCTATGTAACCATAAAAGGCAACATTTGTGGCCTCCAGCCTGTCGGAGGCAGATTCAAGCAGATTCAAGCAGATCTCACTTCTCCTTTGGACACGTTAAATAAGTCCTGAATTTCAGAAGCAGTTGGTTCAGTTGGGAACTCGAAATGATTCTGCTATTGAAAAGGAACTTACAGGTATTGATTTTGTTAAAGTTCAGAATAAAAGTAAAGTTCCATTTTGGGTATCTCTTGAAACCCGTAATAACTCGACTTCTGTTATTCTTGGTCTTGTTTCCTTCAGATACATTCATTCTTGCTTTCAACATTTTGATTTTGTAAACTAGGCAAGAACAGGAATTAATTTATACAGTATTCCTATTCAAAATAAAATCATAAAAGTCACTGTTTTGAATTGATTTTAAATAGTCCTTTTCACTTTATCAGGTGTTCTTATTTGGGGCATGGGGGTGCGGATCTCTGGCATCGTAGCCTTAATTCTAGCTGTATCTCTTTAAGGCCCCACACTCTGAAAGAACTCTGGTTGGGTAGAAAGGCAGGGGACAACGGGTAACTGTCCCGTTGTGCCCGTGACTTACCTACTTTACGTTGGTCGTTCTGCCTGACCTCGTAGATACCCTTAACAGCTTTCCTAGTGCTCACAGCACTTTCAGGATTTCAGTAAAACCTCCAAAGTTTGGGGTTCTTTTTCCCTTTTCCTTTTCTCTGTGATATACTTTGTGATGTGCTGAGCCTGTAAGGGTAAGTGGCCCATTTTGGCAAAACTGCTCGACTCTTTAACTGTTTTCTGTCAAAATCTTTTAAAGGCATTGAGTTTTCTGGCTTTTAAAATATATGCCTTTACAGACAGTTAAGAGATGAAACCAACCAGGTAGGAAATACAATTTTTATGCTTTCTACTTATTAAAATGCCAATTTCTTCTGAAGATGACTGTATTTGCTTTCACTGAATTCAGAAGCAAAACTTGGACTTTTCAGATGAACATGGACAATTCTGAGTGTTAAGGTAGGAGAAATAAGTACTGTTTAATCATTTAGGATTTTATTATAGCTGGGAATATAAAAGTACTCTGACTTTCTCTTTCAAGCGGTCTCTGGAAAAATGTAGAAGAACTGAGAATAAGATATCCAGATTCAATTTGTTGACTTATATGTAGTTCTTTTGTCTTACTTCTAGGTACCGTCACAAGATAAGTTCAGGAGCTGCCCTGTCTGGGTAATTTACAAAGGCTGAAGTGACCAAAGATCCATTCCTTGTTACTTTTTTAATCAAAAGAGAAGTTAGTTATAGCATAGGTTTCTAGTAATGTTTAAATGGTAAGACACTTTCTAAGGCCAGCTACAAATACTCAGCTACTCAGAATGTATAAAAATTTCTTTGCCACGCCATTAATGTGGCCGATCCCCTTCTCCTCCCACCTGTTTCCCTTCCCTTGTCCTCGTCTTCCCTATGTATTTTTTATCTTGCCTAAAAAACATAAAATTGGTATAATTCTCATTTGCTTTCTTGAATATATAACTTCATCATATTTTCCGTAGGTCTTCTGGGTTGGAGCTCCAAGTTGTTTTTTTCTTTTTTTTTTTCCCCTGGCCCTTTTCTGTCTTGCAAATTCCCCTTGATTCACCCACTGCCCTCCCCAATCTGCAACAGTGACAGTTTGCTGCCTCAAAACAGAGCATTCAAATGAATTCGCTTAGCCAATAACTTCTGTGAAGTTGCCTTTTCTAATGGTGTTATTACTCAGTGATGCACAAATGTGGTATTTGCCCTACTGGTAGGCAAACAAAGGTCTGGTTTAGGATGGTAACCTGCTGGGTTTTTTTTTGTTTGTTTGTTTTTATCTTTTAAAGGAGAGCCAAAGACTTGTGCTTTACTCTGTTTTGGTTTGGGGGAAGTCACAGCCATTTTGATTGTGAAACCTTAAAGTATTTGTGAGTTGATCGTACTGTGTGAGTAGGTTTATGTAAACTGTTAGTTAGCTGGCCTTATAAAATGTAAAAGCAATGAAAAGTAACCCGTTTCTCTTTCGTCAGGGAATATCTTTTACAGTATCGTATGTAAGCAGGCCGTCCTCCCTTTTTTTGAGACTGTCTTGTCATGATACAGCATCTCGTGTATTTTTGTTTTTTAACTTGTGCCTAAAGAACAATATCACTATTGGTCAAGTCGTGGGACTAAGAGGACGCGTGAGCAGCTGACTGGTGAGAAATAGGGAACTAGTCAGTACGTGTCCGATTATGTTCAGATTTGGAGAAAAATAGGTTCCTTTTACTAAACAGTCTTTGGTTGATATTACTTACATACCAGTGGTGATGGATGGAGATCTATACTTCTTGCTCATTTTGAGGAATTGAGTAAAGGCTTTATATATAAAATCTGTCTGCACAAAGCAGCTATAATGATCTATATGTCATTAAAAGGAAAGGCCAAGTTACTTTTTAGGAGAAATTGATAACCTACCTGGAACTTAACTGCAGTGTTTCCTAAAATTTTTACCCTGAAAGAGAACAATTTTCTTTCTTTTTTTAGTTGATGTTACATTGTTATAGTGTTCTCTTCCCTGAAATATCTGCCTGTCCTTTAGATAAAAATTAGAGCTCTCAAGTAAAACGGTCATTGTCAACATCAGGGGTGGAACAGCAAGCGGCTGCTGTCACCATTCTGCCCTAGTACCTGCATTGCCATCCACACCAAAACCTTTCTGCCTTGGACAGCTATGGTGTTTATGTTTGTTGCTTCAGCTCAGCTTTATGAAATCCTCTTACTGAAACGACTTATTGGGAGTTGTAGGTGGATCGCAGTTAATTTCTTTTTAATTCTTAATTCAATTTTTCTGAGCCATTTGAAAAAGAGCTTTTCGTCAAAAGGTACTACTGTTGTAAATGCCAGCTTAAGATTCGGTTTTTAAGGTTTTATTTCTTTGATTGCTAAAGATATTTCACACGTAATAGATTCTAACCAACAAGTAATATTAGCTCTAAGGGTAAAGAATTAGGAAGCTGCCACCGGCAGGAAGAAGTAACACCTTTTAATAATGTGTCCCCACCAGGCACTGCACCAAGTGGGTAAAGAGCCTTTTGAAATCCTTTTGTGATAAAGGACTTCCCTATCCCTAGTATCCTTGTTTTCAGAGCTGAATTTTTAGCCAAACTCTGAATTCCCCCTAAACTTTATTCCTGAGCAAAACATCCCTAGAGAAATAACCTTTATTTTCACAAGAAAATAAGGCACAAGAACCCAAGAGAAAGAACTTAAGACAATATCGTATCCAAAAATGTGTATTTAGAAAAACAAAATCGTGTGGAGTTAGTATATACTAGGTAAGGTGAGTCATTTTCTTGTTTGAGGGTCTCACTGTGTCTGGTTGGTTGAGTTCGTTTTGTTTGAAGTAGACAGAGCTCACAAGTCTTTGGCATCCATTCCAGCTTGTCCACTCAGAGTCATCTTATAACTGGAAACTGTCAGGTAGCCCCCACCCCCACGTCAGCTGATGTATGAAAGGGTCGAGGAAAGGATGGAAACTTTTGGGTGGATCATTGGTTGTCTAGTTTTTTTGTTTTGTTTCGGGTTTTTTTTTTTTTTTTTTTTGGCCGATTTTAAAAAATCATTTATTAGTGTAATATCTCTCCCTCGATT